AATAGAATAGAATAGAATAGAATAGAATAGAATAGAATAGAATAGAACAGAACAGGAATTCTTTATTGGCCAAGTGTGATTGGACACACAATGAATTTGTCTCAGTGCAAATGATCTCAGTGTACATAAAAGAAAAGGTACATTCATCAAAAGTCAAGAATCAGGTACAACACTTAAAATAGTTATAGGGTACAATAAGCAATCAAATCGTAGGAAAACAGTCAATATAGATCGTAAGGATACAAGCGACAAAGTTACAGTCCTACAGTCACAAGTGGGAGGGGATGGATGATAAGGAGTGATGAGAAGATTAATAGTGATAGTAACGCAGATTTGTAAATAGTTGGACAGTGTTAAGGGAATTAGTTGTTTAGCGGAATGATGGCGTTCAGGGAAAAACTGTCCTTGTGTCTAGTTGTTCAGGTGGGCAGTGCTCTATAGCGTTGTTTTGATGGTAGGAGTTGAAACAGTTTATGTCCGGGATGTGAGGGGTCTGTAGATATTTTCACAGCCCTCTTTTTGAGTCATGCAGGATACAGGTCCTCCATGGAAGCCAGGTTGATAGTAATTGCTTTTTCTGCAGTCCTAATTATCCTCTGAAATCTATGTCTATCTTGCTGAGTTGCAGAGCCAAACCAGAAAAGAAAAGAATGCAATTCATTTGGTTTCTACCACTTCTGGACTTCATGCTCAAGGTGGAAAAAATAGCGCTTAAAACTTATATACCTCTTCACTGTGCTTTCCAGCCCTCTCTAAGTGGTTTACAGAGTCAGCCTCTTGCCCCCAACAATCTGGGTTCTCATTTTACCCACCTCAGAAGGATGAAAGGCTGAGTCAACCTTGAGTCTGGTGGGATTCGAACTGCCAAATTGCAAGCATTTGGTAGTCAGCAGAAGTAGCTGCAGTACTGCACTCTAACCATTGCACCCCCGAGGATCTCTGAAACTTTGATTTGGGATTGTGTTGATTAGCTAGGTTTGTTGTTAGAGAAATGGGTTATTGATTGGGTTCTTTCCAAGAACCTAGGGTATGTTGTAATTCCCGTCTGGTTTCTGACAAGCAAAGTGAATGAGGGAAGCCGGAATCACTTAATTTAACAACCACAATGATGTCAGAGCATTTGCAGTGTGACTGCTATTATGAGATAACCCAGGAGCAAAACACAGAACACAGAGACTTGGATATTTAACAGTGGTTTATCCATAACAGATATATACAGAAATAAACATGGCAGGCAAATACCTTACAAGCAATCAATCTTCTTAACTCTACACAGAGAACTCTGCAAATGAATACTGGATACAAGGAGAGAGAACCAGACCATCTAATGGCTGCAATATATAAACACCTTCTAAAGGGACCTTTAATCCCCAGTCTTAAAGGGAAATACCTGTTCTATGCTGAATCACCTTCATTTCATCAGCCACATCTGGAAGCTATTATTGCTGGTTGGCTCTTAAATCCCAAGACTCTAATGGGAGGGGGAAATAATACCTAAAATCAGGTGTGACTCATTCAATGATCGCCTTGCTTAGCAATGGAAATTCTGGTTCCAGTTGTGAATGGAATAATAGAGTTGAGAGGGACTTTGGAGGTCTTCTAGTCTAACTGCAGAAGACCCCATACCATTTCATACAAGTGGATGTCCATTCTCTTTTCAAAAACCTCCAGTGATGGAGCACCCACAACTTGTGTAAGCCAGTCATTCCACTGATTAATTGTTCTGACTGTCAGGAAATTTCTCCTTCACTCTAGGTTGCTTCTCTGAGTTTCTATCCATTAGGATTATTTGTATTTTTTCATGTTGTTGCTTGTAGTCAGTTTATGTCATCTTTTTTTGCAGCAGCTAACCAGGTGGTTCACTGTTTCTTCAGCTTGTTTGTAGAGTCCCAAAGGTGCTTTTTTTTCCAAGAGACAACTGGACTTTCTGATTTTTCTTTGAAGACGTTTTGTTTTTCATCCAAGAAGCTTTTTCAGCTCTGACGGGATAGTGGGGAAGGGAAGGATTTATATTCCTTGCAGACAGCTGGTCATTTGCATCCTTTTAGAGAGTCACTGAGGCCACTCGGAGGTTTATCTGTGTCCTCAGGATCACCTTAGTAGATGCAGACAACACAGACTCATTCCCAACAGCCTGCACCTGTGTTCAAGTGAAGGGACACAGGGCCAAAAACATCCTGCAAAAATCACAGCTCCACAACATGTTCCTTTCTGCAGTTCCAAGAAGGCTCCACACCCATTTGCACCACTCAGGTGACCCCAATTGTGGCTTCCTTCCTTCACTTCGCTTGTCAGAAACCAGGTGGGAATTGCAGCATACCCTAGGTTCTTGGGAAGAACCCAATCTATATGAAAGCCAACACCAAGCTAAAGAACTGGCAACTGCGACTTCACATTTGTGCATATAATAATAACAAGAGTGAAAGAGGGGCCATTCAGCACAGATGGTATTACTTTTTTGCTCTGCTATAATATTAGCTTCATAACACATAGTGTTACAGTACTGGATATCTGATTCCAGTAGAAGCAAACAGACCCAGGTTCAGGTTGATCAAACTAGCTTTGTTGATGAATCCCAACGTATTAAAAATAAGCACTTTTCTTTCTTTTGTTTAAATGGAAAGTTGAGCTGCTTATTTCTGTGATGAAAATCTTTTGCACCAGGCCAATCATAAAATTCCCCTGCGACAGTCCTTCTATTAAACCTTGGTACATATGAGCATTTGGCCCAAAGCTCACCTTTGTATGTCTTCCCAAGAGACTATAGAAAGAAGCTTGCTTTGGAATAAAAGAAAGCTTTGAAGATTGATGTCCCACTCTGTGGATCACATATTAGTTTGAATTTATTAATAGTGTTCAGTTGATTATGTTTGTCCTTTTCCTTTCAAGAGTCAGCAAGAAACTTTTAAGGATGCTTG